TTTTTTTTTTTTTATTTCCTTCTGCTGGATTGCTTTGTATGCAACATGCTCAGTTCTCTCTTCTATTTTACATTTAAAACAAAAACCAGGAGCAGAGAAGCAAGTGGCAGCTCTCAGACTTTTTCTCTGACTATTTTGTTCTGACTGTTCTCTTCTGATGAGTGTTGTGGAACACAACCAGGGCAGTGAAGCCTCCTCCTGAGTCAGCTGTGGTGGGGTGGGGGTCAGGCTGATTTGCTATGGTGGAAGTGGTGACAGGCCTTGGCAGATTGGTCGCTGCTGCATTCCAAGTAACTTTTTTTTTAAACAGCAGAAACAATCCAACCATGGGAAATATTTTGAGATAGGGGAATAGGTGGCTCTCTAAGATTAGTGATTCAAAATGAGTTTAAGTAGTTGGGTAGTGTCAGACACTGATCATAATTGGTTAGTTTTCCTTGTTTCTTCTGACTTAGTTAGTGAGAAGAAATTTAGACTTGTCCAGAGCCACCAGAGCTGGTGGATGGTGTGCCCAGAATTTGCACGCCCACCACCCCACACAGCCACGAGTGCTGACCCTGGGCAGTTTTCCACTTGTGCTGGGGATGGTTCCTACCGTGGAAGATTTTTAAGCACGTCCTTCTGGGCCTGCAAGCAGCTGAGCGGTTGTGTCAATAGACAACATCAATATTGACCCACAAAACTTGTGACCACAACTATTTTAAAATCGCTGCACTCGGTGACCCGTGGCTGAGGAAGCCGAAGTGCCTCTGTGTGGGGACTCACAGGGATGAGGGTAGGAAGCACAAAGGGTATTTAGCTATGGCTTGTCTGGCTGGGGAAAGGTATATACTGAAAGCTGTACTCAACTCTGTAAGGAAATGAAGAAAAAGAACCTTGGTGTGGGACGAAAAAGTACCAGCAAAGTGGATTTCTGTGTGTCTGAGCTCTGTGCATTCAGATCCCAAGTTCAGATAGGATCTCGCCTGTGGTGGAGATCAATACCCAGTGCTTCAGAGATGAGAAAAGCCAAAGACCCTCTTTTTTGTTTTCACAGAGATGAGGCAGTGCCTCCCTCTTGCAGACTGGTGATTGGTGAATGCTTTGTACCTGCCAGTCACCTGGAGGTAGCAACTGCTTGATGAAGCTGATGGCTCTGGACATGAGCAAGTTTCCTTTGTGGTGTGTCCTGACTACTAAAGATGAAATGTTGTGGAAAGAGAGAGAGGCAGAAAGTATGAGAGAGCAGTTCTTCCATTTGCCAAGCAGGGAGACCTCATCTGTTCCTCTGGTGGACATTCCAGTTCTGCACTGGGAGAGTAATCAAGGCAGATCCAGTAAAGCTTTGATGGGATGCCACAGTGTCCTACAGCAAAATGGCCAATCAGAATATAGTATACTGCATAAAAAACATGCTGCAGAATTGCTCTCCAAGGCTGCCGACTCAGTGGGTGGCCAGGGCTCACACCACTGACCTGTGCTGTGCCCAGGGGACCGTGAGGCAGATTCCCTTGTGTTTTTTAACTCTCCTCTCCCTGTTTCCTTTTCCTCTAGGCCATATGTTGACCTAGTGAATATCCTGCTCACCTGTGGCGAGGAGGTGAAAAAGGCAATAACAAGAAGCGTCCAGGCCCAGTGTGAACAGAACTGGGGGAGTCTCTGCTCCATCCTGAGCTTCTGCACCTCGGCTGTGCACGGTGACGCCGCCCTGGGCGCCGAGAAGAAGCCGGGTGAAGCCACCAAAGGCGGTGCTGGCCGTGGGGACATGCTGGCCCACTCTGACCCCGACCACAGGGAGAGCTCGAGAGCATCCAAGGGAGAGAGAGGTACCAAGGGCCACTTGAACGCCCACGCCCGGGTGAAAGCTGGGGGCCACAGTCCCAAAGGGGCACAAGGGATCGTGGACCGGGCAGACGAACTGTCCGACTTCTCCGACATCCGGAGGTGAAAAAAGGCACCAGCTCCCCCTTCCCCCCCATCCTCCCCCTCCACCGGAATCCTCCTGAGTTCCATCTTCCCGTCTATGGACATTCCAAAGCATTTCCCATTCAGAGGTCAAGCACAGGGCATTGCAAGATATATATGGACCTCGGCAACAGTGTATATAGTAGCAAAGGGAGAGCAGTGGCAATGGGTTATCGATCCAGCAAACTCGACACTCGAGCAGCCACCAAACGTGGCAAAATGTCTCCAACTAAATTCTTTTCCCCTTTTTTATGAAACAGACATAATCTGAAATTTAGGATCTTGTTTGGGGACTGTTGGGTTGGTTTTGGGGTTTGTTTTGTTTTTTTCCCTTGGTCTCCTTGGCTGGGGAGACTGTTCCAAGAGGGCTCTGCCAGACTGCATGTGGCTGCTTGTGGCTTAGCACCTCCAAAGGTCTAGGGCACAGCCTTACAGCAGATGGCTGAATTCCAAAGGGATTTGGTTTCTGCTTGTGGCTGAGAACACAAGAGCTCCAGGCTCTCTATGTGAAGCTCTCTAATGAAGTAGCTGCCCCGTCTCTCGCACAGGAACCGTGCGGTCTGGAGCTCCACCACTTTCTCTTAACTAACTTCTGAGCCATTGTTCCCACCTGGGTGACGCTGCCTGGTTTAAGTGCCCCCCTGTTTGTTTTGAACCACTGTATAACTTGACACTTGCTAATCACAGTATCATACCCAGTCCCTTCAGCGTATCACAGGCGAGTAGTCAGCTTCCAGACAAGGCAATGTGACTGTTAAAGACTTGCACAGTGTGGAGGACCCCCAAAAGTATTCTTGTGGACCTCTAAGAACCCTGTGCATATTCTCTGCTTACATCTGCCCCTTCAGTGATACAGGTCTTCCACCCTTATAGACAGCCCAAGCCTAAAGGGATGGGTGTGGGCTCAGACAGCGAAGGACCCCATATGTTTAGTTTTTCTGTAGGGCTGCGTTGAAGGCCCATCAGAAATCTGTCTCTCCTTAGCAGTAGCGTGGTATGGTTTGCTGAGATGTGGAGCCCCACTCTAACCTGCCTATAGCTATGGTTTATCCAAATGCCAAAGATAAGGAGAGGGGATTGACTCGGGTTTTTTAATTGTTGTGCAGATAATGACCACCAGTCTCCACAGAGTGAGTTAGTAAAGATGAAGAGTGTCAAGAGCTTATTGTCTTTAAGCAGTTTCAAGTGTGAATGAGGTGTTTGGCCATATCTCTCCTACCCCCTATGCAATTGTAATTCTCAGGTTGCAGCTCTGCAATCCTATATCCCCAGATATTGTACTGGAAGTGGAGGTTAAGGCATCCACGAGGACAGAAGGGTGAGCTCTCAGCTTCCTCGAGAGAAAAAGTGAGTTTTCTTAGAAAGTGGGAATCACACCAGGGATTTGAGCCTTCTCATTTAGAAAGTTTGGGAGGAAAGCTGTGGGGGCAGGAAGGCAGTTCAGCAGGGACAGAACGTACCCAGTGAACTAACGTACGTCTTGTCGCATGGTGGGAAGGAGCTGCATAAGCAGTAGAGGGTGTTGGAATTTGGCTACAATTTCCAACTCAGATTTTAGTTACTGCTGAGTGAACACGGCTCCTAATAGCTGTATTCAGGGTTTAATGCATGGATCCACCCGCGGAAGGTAGAGGCACTGCTTTTAATAGCAACCACGTAGGAAGCAAGAGAGGACAGTTAAGTTGAAAAGGTGTGTCTCTGATCACCAGGTCTCTGCTCTAAAGACATGACCCTGATCCTGCCCGATTTTAGCAAAGTTCTCTGATAACATTTTTGTTTGACTCAAGTGGGAAGAGGTGGGATCAGGCCAGATGCTATAGCAACAAAGACCATGGTGATGTGCCAGTGGGTGTGGCAGCTGCACCACTGGGCTGGTGACAGCTCTGCCATCCCTGGGGCACCCAGGCTGTCCCATGGAGCAGCTTGGGAAGGTTGGTTTGGGTCTGAGTGTTGGCCACCTCCTCTGCTCCAAAAGGTGGTACCATGAGAAGGTTTCTAGCATGTGCCTCCATGGGTTTCCTGCAAGCGTCCTCCCCCCCGGTGGCACAGAGCCACCACGAAGAACAAGCTCAAACCAAAAAGACAATCCAAGCATTTTAGCAAAAAAAAAAAAAAAAAAAAAAAAGGAAAAATCCCTCTCCGAAGCAGCTATTGCAATGACTTTCTTGGAAATCCTCCACTCTCTCATTTTATTTTTTTTTTCCTCCCTGGTATTTTGTACCCTGCTTGCTCCTTGGGGATTTGGGCCAAATCCATCACTTGAGGGGGGGGAAGTGGTACCTGGGTGCGGACCGGGATGGGTGAGCAGGGGACAGGCGCTGCTTTCCCGGGGGGGGGTGAACTCCCCTTCCCTCCCCCGGTGGAGAGCATCACTCTTTCAAGCCCCCCCAGAGCAACCCCCATCCAGCTCTGGCTGCTGCCTTTTGTCCCGTAGCTGGAGCGGGGAGGAGGGGGGGACAACACACGGCAACGTAGGAAAATCCGTAGCAGGTGACGAGAAGTGCCGCGCTGGCTGGGGAGGGGGCGTGCGTGTCTCCCCTTGCCCTGCCGTAATGCACATCAGATGTTTCATCAGACCCCGCAGGCCCCATGCGGTCCCGTGTCCCCCCCGCCTCCAGCAGCCCCCGAGCCCCCGGCAGTGCCGGGGCGCGCTGTGCCGTGCCGGGGGCGGGGGTCCCGCCGGGGGGGGCGCAGCCAGGAATGTCTCCAGCTGCTGCTGCCGCCCGCTCCCTCACAGCTGTCAAAATGCACTTGAGGAAATCCACTCACACCTCCCCGAGCAAGGGTCTCCTCGGCGGGACGTGACACCGCGCCGCAGGACCATGGCTCCACGGCTACGCACCAGCAGGCACGTCCTGACACCCCGTCGCAGCCCCCCGACAGCCCCCGCTCGCCTGGGCCTTCCCTGGTGCTGTCTCAGGCCGGGGGGGTGGGGTGGTGGTGTTGTGCGCTGTGCCTGAGCCGTGCGAAGTTTTATTTTTATTTTTATCGTTCTGTAGGGTTTGACATCGAAACATCTTTTTTAAGATTGAAATTCTTAGCGGCGGTGCCAAGCTCGTGTGGAAATTCCCTTTTATCAACATGCTGCTGCCTTTGGAACTGCAACTCGCAGCTTTTCCTCTAAGGAACTGGCTGTGCCAGTGAGGATGTCTGCAAAGCCCCTGTGCCCCTGGGATGGGCTCTGCCCTTTCTGACAACAGGGCTATTAAAGGAATAGGTTTTTCTTCTTCATTTATACCTCACCCAGAGTGCCTGCTGGCCCTTCTTTTGTCCTTGTTCTCTTACTATTTATACTGCTGAAGAGTTTTGCTCTTTAATTGCCTTTGCCAGGTCTAACTTAGCTCAACTTTAACAATTCTCATCTCCAGTGTTCAAAGACGAGGGACTGAATGAACTCGGGAGCAGAACAGAGGGAGTATGGGCAGGAGAATTTAAGAGATGGCAATTTTTCTCTGTTGGAGGAAGTAACAGCCAATGTACTGTTCCTAAACAGCAAGTTTGTATTGCACATATAATATATTCGTTCTCTGGTGCCTCACAAATGATGCTTTCTCCTGATGCCTTTTCCCTGTTGCTTTACATCTGATGCCCTCCTGCAGCCATTCCTCATCAATCTTTCTGCCTCTTTTTAAAGTTACAGTTTTTGGATGGGTTTTGCCCTTTTGACTTAAAGGGATTCTGTGCATCCTCCATGTGCCAGACCCAGGGTCCCTCCCTCTGATTGGCTTCTCTAGTCAGGACTCATAATTTCCCAGAGTGTGTCCTTTGAACCACGCAGCCCTGGCTGCCCTAGTGTGGCTCGTCCTCCCCTTCAGCCTATATTGTATTAATTGCTCCTACCAAGGTTATTTTAACATCTTTTCCTCACTAAAACCGTGCCTAAAATAGTCCCTCCTTGTGTCACTTTGGGGAAGAAATCTGCTGGCTGTCAGCATGTTGAGCATTTCCCATCTCCTCCTGCTCAGCACACATAGCTGGGCGGAGGGTGGCACTCAGAGCTGTAGGATTTTTCCCTGCTTTTCCCTCTCGAGGTCACTTGTCAGGGTGCTCCTGGGATTAGAGGATCTGGTCCCACTCATCCCTTCCTTAGCAAGGCAGGAAGCTGTGCCTGCATTTTAAAGGTGAGTGCTGTCAGGGAAAACGCGCATGATCCACAAGTCATGCTCTAGCAAATCTGGCGTCTCTTGGAGCGTGGTGTAACTCGCTCCCTGGCAGTGTGATCACTGCCAAGGTAATTTTATAGATGTTACCAATTCCAGTGATTTAGGGGCTGGTTTCCAGGGGGCTTGGGATGCCTGAGTCCCAAGGCACTGAGGCACTGATCCTGCAGCTTTGCCCCAACGCAGGGAGCTTGCGTGGACTCAGGCGCCTGATTGCAGGACGGTGTCCGGTTGCGAGGCGTTTGATGATGTGTTGAGCAGTCACACTTCAGAGAGGATCACAACTCCTTCCAGCAGTTTTAAACCCCTGTTGGCTTTCAGGATTACACTCCGAGTTCCCTTCGGCTAACATACATACATTTTACTTTTTGAAAGTGTTTCATAGTTTGATTAAGACTTCATATGATCAGGCAGTGGCAAGAGCATTTTGCAACTCCCTTTAAATGGGAAGCATTTAATTGTTTGGCGTCTTCAGGGAGATGAGCTGCTTTCATGACTATTAACAGGGCTGTGTCCCTGCAAGGCCGTTGCAGGCAGGTGAAGGCTGAGGAATGCTGTGCAAGAGGCTCCAGCGCACAGGAGAGAGCGAGCACACCCAGTTACGAAGGACAGAGAGGCCGATGACTTCAAAAGGGAAGAGGATGCTGTGGGGAAGGTGTGCCAAGGTCTGGATTCTGGGTTTTCTATCTGTGACTAAACACATTTCACAGTAGAGCTGGAGTAAGCTGTGCTGTGCAGCCCCAGCAGGGCAATGGGATTTCATCAGACTTGAGAAAATAGCAAGACAGGGGAATTTATTGTTGCCTCTTCTCCTGGGTAATTTCCCCACCTCGGGGCTTAGTGCAAGGTGCTGACTTGCAAATGACACATCATTACGAAGCGAGCCCAGAGCTGCAAAGCCTTGCTGGGAAAGTGGTCAGGAGAGCGAAGGAAGCTGCCTCCTGGACTTGGTTCCTTCTGGTGTGGGACCTGCTCTGGGAACATGTTGATTTAATTCCCACAAGTTAGTTCTTGGATGGTGCAAATAAAGCTGCTGACAGTGACTGAAATGAGATTCGACACTGGAGAACCTGTTAGGCTCAGTAAATGTAGGTCTGTTGGGAAGCTTCAAAGGGTTGTATTTTAAGCCACTTTTCCCCTCTCATCATCGATTTAGTATTTTTGAATCTCTGGTAACTAGTTTTTATGATGAACAAGCAGAAATTTAGAATAAAGTCACAGAGAATGAAATGCAAGAAAAGTCAGAGCTAATTAGATTAAAAATTATACAGCCATTCTTTTCCTGATTGGTTGTATAAAACTCAGGTATTTGAGAAATGGTCTCAATGAGTTATGCACCAGGTTTAAAGGTGGTCTGACTTCTTTGATAAAATATGAACTATTTGAAAGATTTATATGAGTCAGAAATGCTGCTGAATATTTTAGTATTTAGAGCAGCAGGAAACCACTCAGGGATATTTTTAAAACAGGTATTTACTCAAGTAATTGGTTACTTTTAATGTGGAATAAGAAAACCTGGTGCAGCTATATTGGACTTGACATAAAAGACAGGTATGTAATTTGTGAGCAAAACAGGGTGGAATGTACACATTGTACCTGGGGAGGTATTTCAAGAAAGACAACTCCTTGAGACAAAAAGCCAAAACAACTGACATGCTAGGTTGCATGCCAGAATTGCTTATTCCTCAGTTAATCAGCTGTGTAATGAGTGTCCAGAAACAATCCCTTCTGCCCAGGTAGTTTAAGTTTCAACCTTTGTAAGCTTTGTGGCCATCATAAAATGGATTACATGGAAGTTGGACGAAAAACACATGTTTCTGAGAACATTTTGGTTCAAATAAAAAAAAAATGTGGCAATGTTGGTGCCAACAATTTACTACAGAATATCTGAACCAGATGCTGTTAAACTATAATTCCAAACAATTTGCCAGAATTATGTATTTACTTTATTCTTTAAGTCAAACTAAAGTTATGTGTGTTTTTTATTACTTGTGGATATAAACAAAAATGTGGTACAATTGCAAGTAATATAAGGCAGATAATGCCCAACAGTCAGGATTTCTGTGACTACTGCACTAGCTAAAGAAAAATGGAAGTTCTGTTGCTAATTATGTGTGACAGGGTCATCAAAATGGGGTTGTTCAGATCGAGACGTATCAGACTGCAGTCTGCTTAGTCACCAGATAAGAGCTTTGGCCAAAAGCATCTATTTTTCCCTTTTTCTCACAGTAGTACATTTTTTTCCACCTGAGAGAATGGGGACGAGATCTGCAACACATGGAGAGTTACAATCTTAACTAAAATAATATATGGAAGGGACTCTTCTTAGGAGATACTTGTAGGCAATCTCCGACTTGCTGGTTCTTATCCAGATGAGCTGCTCTCTGATGGTTTAAATGACAGACATTGACGTCAAAATTAACATCTTGAAAGGATAGAGTGAGTTTTAGCAGGAGTTTTTATGACATTATATGTCATTCAGGTTATAAAGACTTGAAGCTGGCACTCCCACAAGCTGAAACAATCTTTACCTACTGTCAAGAGGCTCTCAGAAAACCTCAAATAATTTCCTTGTGTGAAGTGGCTACCTCAGTCAGCTGCAGCTTGACACAGAGAAGTGCTGAACATGCTGTAACACCCATATTCCCAGGTCGAGTCCAAATCAGCAGGGAGAAAAATACATCAGAAACTAGAGAAAAGAGTTTCAATAAGGAGCCTTGATTCAGAGAATTGTTCAGCAAAGTCACCAAAACCAAATCCCCCTGTGTGCTATAAAGAAAAGAAGAATCTGCAAAAGATTTGCAGTGGAGTCTCTGGTTTCATCCAGACAACGGCCTGCTGGGACACAGCAAGCTCCATCTCCTGACCCAGGGCTGCAGTGCTGGATCCTGCTTGGAGGAGCGTGGAAACTCACCACAGCTCTTCTGCAGAAATCCTGCTTGATTTTGGGAAAGCACATGCCTTCACAGGGA